TTTTAGTGTACATTTTAAAAGCTTGCCAAGAACAACAGACCTGGGTTATCAGTTCTTATCCCCTGCCTTTAAATGAGCACCATGCATCCTTAACAAATGAATCCTAAAAAATACCGACATTTTAATGATTAACACTTATTGACTACAGATTTCAGTCTTATGAGTTCTTCACTTTTCGTTCTATAAATGACACAACACATTTCATGATTACGCATTATTGAATGTATAAATTAGACAGTTGGCTAGATTGATCATATAAAACTCTTTGTTCAGTCGATTTATAGTCATGTTATAGATCTGCATGTAATGTGATGTTTATTATGCGTTTTGTTTTGATTTGATTTTGTCGATGTCAATGTAGGTCATCCCCAGATCAAGGACGTCAATAAACCACAACACTGAAATAAAAATAAGTTATTCCGCTCCGGATGTTTCCTCTTCGGACCAGCATGGCATCTTTTCACCATTTCGACTTATCACCGGCGCTTTAACCGTGACCACCACCTTTATTGTGAAGGGGAGCCGCCACACTTCCGGTAGTGCCCGCGCCGGCCTGTGATTGGCTGCGGGCGGCCCTCGTCTTTTGGGGAAGGGTTCTTATTGCAGGCAGACATGGAGGAGCTGAGCGCCGTCGGGGAGCAGGTCTTTGACGCGGAGTGCATTTTAAACAAACGCCTGAGAAAGGTCAGAGCCGAGAACCGCCGTAACTCCGCCGAGCGACTCGTTGTGTCTCGCGACTTGTTCACGAAGCTTCTTCCTGTCCCGCTTCTCTTTCAGGGAAAGTTGGAGTTCCTCGTCAAGTGGAGGGGATGGTCATCCAAGTAAGTACAAGTGGAGCAGCTCAGCCCGAAACAATGAAAACAACAGCAGCAGCAGCAGCAGCAGCAGCGTGTCGCTTGTTGCTTCTCCTGCAGCTCTTCCAGCCTCTCCGCTCGCTTCTCTTCTGCCCCGAACCATCGAGTTTGCACCGGAGCGACCGCTCCGTGATGTTTTTGGGTCCCGAGGCCAGTTTATTTTGAAATACAGCTCCAGCAGTCCGCCTCTGCTTCTCCTTTCTTTTGTTCATTACACCTCAAATTTAAGAAATTGGCTAAAAGCGAAAACAAATGTTTTTTTAAAAAGCTGCACCGAATGGATTTTTCTAGATTTTCATATATGTTATTTTTTATATTATTTTATTCGTGATGTTTAATATTTTGGCAGACTTGAAGTAAGTTTTTTATTTGTGTGACTCGCATCGGGGAAGATAAAAATCGCTTTGATTGTTGGCTTTGATATTAGCTTTTTAGCAACTTAATGTCATGCTGGAGTCGTTACATAACTCTGTGTTCTAAAGTTGTTTTTTTCAACTCGATATTTTTGAACTGATCATCTGTGTCGCTGTCCGTAACACTCCGCTCTGACTTCATTTCTTGTCACTTGTCCTTTTTCTCTTCACTCCACATTGTTGCTGTAATCCACCATCAATGCTCAGCGTTGCCTGCCAGCTCCATGGCTTCTGTTAGAACCACATCCTTTGTGTGTGTGTGTTCGTTCGTGTGTGTGTGTAGAGAGGGTGGGGGTCGATCAGACTAGGCTATTCAGCTACAAGTGATGAGGAGAAAGGTCATTACACATGCATGTAGTTCAGATCACTTCAAGAAGACCAGCTGCAGTAAATCTGACACTTTTAAAAACAGCATTGTGACCTGGTCATAATGTAGAGGTGCAACAGAACTGCAGAATAATGTTTGTTTTGTTTGTGATCGAAACTGTGCTCTGCACTGTGTCGCAACAAGCATAAGAAACGTGCTATTTACATTAATCGCCATAAATGTTGCAGAACTTCACAGTTCTTTCTTCCAGGTGTAATCATGTTTTTTTTTTTTCACAACACACATGGAGAGTTGTTTTTTTTTCACCACAACTAAGTTCATTGTGAAACAGAAAAGCAACAAAACTTGGCAGCAAGTTGTAGACAAGCTTATTTCTTTAACAGTCCCATGGAATGTATAAAATCCTTCAGTTTTTACTTTGTAATCGCAGTGATATAATATGTACGATATATAAAAGCACACAAAAGTCATATTTAGCTTTTCTGAAGTATAATACTCACAGGAACAGTTGTAAAAAAACATAATTGAGATTAGGAGCTGGCTAAAAACTGATCATGGAGTTTTTTATATTTTCGACGCCTTAACACAAACCGATGTTTTCATGATTGATTGTCGCTATTATTCATGTAGGGCTGTCACAATATCAGATTTTCATGACACAAACAAAGTGTCCAAAAGTATTGATGATAACATTTTAGTGGTATCTATGGAGAATGTGAAAAAAACAAACATACCATGCTAATCAGTTAAAGTCAACCTCAACTGAATTTATTGTGTGTTTTGTTTCTGTCAAATTAATTTAACTAAAAATAGAACAAATAACCTAGTTTGACTGTTAAATTAGATAGGACACATCATGCAATTGATAATACTTTTTTCTCCCCGATGTAAAAAGCCGGATTTGAGTTTCAACCCACTAACTCATCAACATACAGAATTATTCATAACTGATACAGTTATCACAGAGTTATTACTGTGTCTTAACTGCTCTTTTAATGTCTATCCATCTGTACTGATCTTTTTTCCTGGAGCACAAATTGTGCGAATGTTACCCAGCAAGCAAGGTGTTGCCTTTTCGATTTTGAGTCTGTTAACATTTGTTTTTTAAGGAGCCTGTCTGAATTGACAGTATTTAATCGCTGAGAGAAATATCACGACATCAGGTAACTGTGATGGCACCAAATGATCTGACTCTGTCAAGTTTTGTAGAGGTTGTGTGAATGTACTGCTCCTGATGCGACTGCCTTGTTTATAGAGTGCTGCGCTGAACTCATCTATTTGTCTATGTAACTTGAAGCAGCCCTAAACTTAAGTATCCTCGCTGCTGAGGCTGAAGGATACATTTAATCTTGCAGGGCCACTTTTGCTTCTTTGTTTTGACTAACACTCACCACATCGATTTATTTCAGACATAACAGCTGGGAACCCCAAGAAAACATCCTTGACCCGAGACTGCTGGCTGCATTCAAAAAGAAGTAAGTGTCCTAATTGAGATATTCCCACACCAACGTCTGGTCTTATTCATTGAGTAACATTTTGCAAACATTTCCCAAGCAGTCATTACCTTGCTTCATTTTGAACCCAGCTCATGATCTATTTATATCAGGAAGCAGAATCTGAAAGACATGGTTGTTAGATGAAGTTGTGATCCTAGCGCAAACCAAAATACTCTATTGATTAGGATGCTGCAGTTTTATTTGAGCATTGTTGAAATTGAGCAAACTGAAAAAAATGAAATGAGTCAAAAGCAGTCGTATGACCAATTTTACTCATTCCCACATTGAGCATTTGTTCAAATTGATTTTTTATAGAGAGCAAGAAAAGGAGCTCCTGTTACGCAAAAAAGGGAAAAGACCCAGAGGAAGACCACGGAAAATCCTTGTGAGTACAATTTAAAGCTTTAACAATTTAAAATTGTTCCTCTTTGAGTGATCAGTACACGGTAACTAAAGTCATTTTTTTTGATTTAGGACAATGTGCCTGAAGCTGCAAAATCAAGCAGCTCTTCATCTGGCTCATCGTCGTCATCCTCCGATTCCTCATCCTCCTGCTCGTCCTCTTCGTCCTCCTCAGACGACGACGATGAAGATGGCAGCGTCAAGCCAGCAACCCAGAGTGTGAGAACACGAGACCATCATCCCGTCCCGCAGAAGAAGGCACAGATCGTTGTGGCAAAACAGGAGCCGCCGAAGAAACGAAGCAGGAAACCTCTGCCCCCTGACCCGAAGGAGTTTCAGCAGAGCAAAGGTGCTCGCAAAATCCTGAAGTTATCAAAAGATACAGATCTACCAGGAGCAATCAAAAAGCCTGTTCACCCAGCAAGCTTCACCTTCATGGGTTTCCATCGGAACTCTGGTAGGGATACACTGGGTGGTCCGAACAGGGGCTCTCTGACCCAGGGAGGGGCTGTTAAAAACTCCATGAGCTCTGTGGGATCCGGAAAATCAGTTCAACCTGCCTCCCTCTCTCTGAACAAATCCAGCCAGAGCAGGAACCTCACTGAGGGCAAACTGTCAATCTCCAGCATGAGCAGCGGGGCGAGTCTGGATTTGAACACAGCTGCTGGTAAATCTAAAGGGGTGGCAGCGTTGAATTTGAATACATCCAAACACCCCATTCAAGGCACCACTCAGCACACACTGAGCTCCCCCAATGGACAAAAGAAAGCCCAGGGCCCCGCGTCAGCACTGCAGCGGTTACCCAACACCAGAGCAGTCGCTTCTGTACCAGCTAAGAACGCCTCCTCCAATCAAGGTTCTGGCCTTCAGCCGCTCAACCTTCAGAACAAACCAGTGCAAAGCAATAATAGTCCTGGGAATGGTGCCACACCAGCGTCAGGCCTGAGAAATGCAACCAACCCAGCAAGGAAAGCTACTGTCACACAAAACCAGGACTACAATCCTCCCAAGAGTCCAGCAACCCCGGGGAGACTGCAGACCAGAAAGAACCAGCCAGGAGCAGAGAAAGTCAAGGAGGCGACTGAAATCCAGTCCTCTAGAGTCCAAGGCAGGCTGGAGAAGAGCAGCGTGCACAAATCCTCCACAGAGGTCCAGAGCCAACAAGAGAGATCGGCCTACAAAGACGGCAAGAAAGACATGAGCACGGGCGAAGAGGAGAGCAGCTCAGACTCTGACCAAGATTCTTCTTTCATCGGACAGGATCGCTCCATGAACCAGGACTGGAAGCCCACACGCAGTCTGATAGAGCATGTGTTTGTCACAGATGTCACCGCTAATCTAGTTACTGTCACAGTGAAGGAGTCACCGACCAGCGTGGGCTTCTTCAGCATCCGCAACTACTGATGGGATTTCAGACGCCGCAAACCAGATGGACTGTGAAACAAACAGAGGGGATTTGGGTTCTGAAGGAACTAAATAAAACCCTTTTTGCTCGAGAACTCCTGAGGAATGCATCAGGGAGTGGAGGTCAATTAACATTTCAATTTCTTAATAGACTCATTTTTTAGATTAAAAAAGAAACAGAACCTGACATCAGTTATTGATTGTAATTATTTATTTGCTCGTGGCTACAAATTGTGCAAGAAATGGGAGTGGAGGAGAGACGAGGCCAGATTTTGGTCTCGTATTATTATCTCAAGTAAACAAATCTTCTCAATCAGTCCAAAATTGTGTTGATTCGAGGGTCGTACAACAATTGAATCAGTTTAAGAATCTTAAATGTAGGTTTCCCAACCTGTGCAAAAATTCACATTCATTCATATTGATTTCTTCTGTGTCGAGATGATCTGCTTCTTTTATAACATACAACTTTAGCATATAAGAGGAATGTCTTACTGAATAAACTGAAGATGAATTTATGAACTGTAGGGAAGAGCAGGAGGGCTAGCTTCTTTTATGGATGGCAGACATTTAGTTCCTATTATGTCATAATATGTTGTGGATTCATATCAATCAATAGAAAATGTAAACCAGTTTTTAATTCTTAGTATAGAATTGTTATTTTACTGTTTCGTGAATTAGCTACCTCTGTTTTTTTGTTTTTTTTTAACATTTGCTGCAAATGTATATTTTTTTCATCTGGGAGAGGAAAACCCTTTCCCTCCAGGGTAAACCATATAATTGTTTTTATATAGCTCTAATGTATTGACTTCTCGTGCTCTATAAACTTGTGTTAGCACCAGAGACCAGCCTGAGAAGCTTTGTTTCTGTGTAATGAAACACTCCCCATCAGGACGGGACCTGAGTTGTGCTCGGTGTTGAACTGCGCGCAGCTTTTATCGCCTTGAAGAGAAGGTTCATTCCACAGTGCAGCCAGTTTATCTGTGCGGTTTTCCAAATGGGCTGAAGCATGTCAGGAGTCAGATACAGTATCTCTGTTCCTCCCTGGTGCTCTGATAAGACTCGAGTTGTGGCTGCGGTTTGCGCTTCTGTCTCTGCACCAGCTCTGTCCCTCTGCGAGGTATTCACCAGCAAATTTAATCTTCTCAGACTTGTAATTAATACGGACAAAACCCAGAGAAAAAGTGCTTGCGTTGACGTGGCTGGACGATCACAGACAGTATATCTGTCAAAGCTTCTCTCTCAGTGTGTCAAAGCCTCCTGTGAGCCTTTGAGATCGCCAAAGGCAACACACTTTAAAGTGCGAAATGGGTGAAAAAGTTGGGTGTGGACAATAAACCTTTCAGCATTGTTTGTCCCAGACCACAAAACACCAACTTTCATTGTGTCTCTTGCTGCTGGTGTTTCCAAATGTCAAGTGCTGAAATACCAGATTTGATTTGGTTTTGTTATTTTATTTTTTTGACTTGCAGCTGCAGACGTCTCATTTCACCCGCCTGCACGGCCTCAGGAGCTGCAGGCCCAGCCTCTGAGAGAGAAAAAAGAGGTCTTTATCTGATGTAACGGAAAAGAAACCTCAACAATGTGCGCTACTTTCTGCTCCCTTGAGAGGAGTTCAGCAACAAAGCACTTCGACTGAACTCTTCGTCTAATCCTGCTCTGCAGAATGTGCCTTTCTTTCCCTCAAAGACTAAACACAAAGACATTACCCCAAAGATAGCTAGAATTTCAGGTTGTTCAATAAAGGAGTACCCTTAGGGCACAGCATGGAGACTGTACCATTGTTTTTCTCGTCCATGTTGTTGTGAAACAGCTAAAAAATGGAAGGCCTCCTGAAAGACTATCACAAATGTATGGAGCAGACACATATTTGATGCCTTGTTCTCATATTACACGTGTTACACATGGAAAAAAAGGACGCAGCATTTGGTTTCATCAGTGTAGCTGTTGTCCACAAGAGTCCTTCTATGTCAAAGAAATGCATCAGGCCAGAGGTAAAGATCAGTCTAGCCGCAATCAAAACATCACAACCATGTAATAGACTATGGGGTAACACAAAGGGTGTTTATATGAATCTGCTTTTCCTAAATAATGAAGAGAAACATTTTTCATATTTCTTCATTTATTTCTTTTTTTAGATACTAACCATGTCAATGGAACTTTGTTCTCTTTACACTATTTATTTCAAATTAAGAGCCTTTCAGGGTAGGTAGACAGTGTCATCAATCCTTGTATTGTGCCGCATGTCAAACTGACTAATAAATGGTACAAACCTTATGTCTCAATTTGGTTTCTTAGAATTATTATTTTTATAAAGCAAAAATGTCAAACGTCTGTTGGTGCAAACACGATTAACCTAAATTATATTATTGGACTGATTTATTGATTGGCTGATAAATATCGGCCAATATGAGCCCTTCTTTAACTATGTGTTGTTTATGTTTGTTGATATGAAAACTAGAATGCAGAGATTATGTGCATTTAGGTTTAAATTTTACATTAAAAATATGCTTAACTCAAGTTGTAGTAATTTGATTGCATTTGTGATGTCTTTTAATTATGATTAATAAAGGTGAAGCGTATCTTAAAACTTAAATATAACATTAAAATCTTAGGAATATTTGGCAATTATTTTTTTTTAATATAGTACATTCCAGCCAATGGATGGTAAATATTTAATTCCTCTATCGCCTTTTACCTCCAAATATCCAATCAGTCAGACTATTCTGGATTATTACTTGGATGACATGAGCAGTTTGAAGACAGAATGTTTAGTTCCTGTGATGCCTTTTGGTTTTCACTATTTTCTGATATTTTAAAGATAAATCACTAGTAGACAAGTAGATAAACAGATTGATAATAGTGCCACAGACCTTGTGTATAACAGGAGATGTATATACATAAGATGTCATGAGTGAATTCTCAGACGCAGTTCTATCCTTCATTAGCACAATGAAAAAAATGCACAAATATCCATTAAGGAAGAAACCTGGCGATTGAAAGTCAGTCACCTCCTCAGTCAGCCTCATGGAGACATGCACTGTAAAAGCCACTAGATGGTGCTGTTGTACTTAAAGGTAAATTCACTTAATGAGGTCTTCAGCTTCTTAATGAACCATAATCATATAATCTGATATTTAACAAACTTGACCTTGAAATCCTCTATTTTAATGTTGCCTATTAAACAAGAACACAAAGGGTCCATTTTAAGATTGTCCTACTTTAAAAGCTCCTCATACATACAACAATTTAATTTACAATTACTATTACTGGAAGTGCAATGAAATCTATGAAACACATATTTTTGGCCGTTTCAGTTTATATTCTCAAGACGGTGCCGAGAGAAATGTACATGTCCTCTGAGATCTTGCAAACAATGCAAACCTGGGCAAAATGTCAGCCTCTCGTTCCGCTCTGCCTCAGGACTGCATAGGTGTTGGGTATGTGTGTGGCTCGGTTGTGCGATACCTTACATAGCTAACCCACAAACCTGCGGTATCCACCAACAACAGAGGAGTTCTGCACTGGAGGCAATGGCAGATAAACTCGCCCTGTTGATTTGGCACTTAGTCGTGCAAATCAAATCATCTCTCAATAACAGGGAAAGACTCTGTGACAGCCCAGAGAGCAGAGCCGCCAGTCTGTCTGACGGTTTCAACAGTTTCCCATCAGTCCTCAGGGCAGTGTCACTTGCCATTTGGCATCTCGTGTCACTTTGACCCACCTGTTTTATGCATGATAAGAAAAATGCTCTTCCTTTCAGTCGCACAACTGAACCCACAAGTTTCCATGAGTTAATAAGATTCAAATAAAAAAACAGTTATGGTAAATGGTGGGCATTTATATAGTGCTTCCCTTGACGTGATGTCCACTCAAAGCTCTTCACAGTACAGTTTTGCCATCCACACAAACACATTCATACGGTGCATATGTGCCGCTCTCACTCTACCACACATCACTCACACACTGCCGAGGTAGCTGTGAGGGGTAATTTGGGCTGAGTATCTTTCCCATGAACACTTCTGCACACGGAACGGGGGAGACAGGGATTGAACTGCCAACTTTCTAGACAGCGGACCAACCCCCCCAACAGTTGATCCTAAAATTGAATATGCGACCTCATCCCAGATCATACTGTCTTCTGTGGATGTAATGTGATGTTAAATGTATGTTTGTAGTTTTTCTTGTCTTAAGTTGTATTTTATGTCGCAAACGGAGACGCAGCTGTGATGCAACACATTTCAGATGGGTCTGACAAAGATCAGTCAATTCTATAGACTAAGCAAATAATGAAAAGAACATGAGAAGGAAATAGAAACACACAGTTCTTCAATGCAAGCCCACATTCACAGAAGCTACATACATCCAGTTAATAAAAGCTCAAATATATAGACAAGATATATACTATATATAGTTTTGGTAGAAGCATTGAGATATTTTAGCAAAAGCAGAGTGTAAAAATGCTTATTTACTGGCAAAACCCTTGCATTTTAAATCTTTCTTATGGAAACGATGAGAAGACTTAAAAAATATACCTCGAGACAGAGGTATTTGTTGTGTAGTTCAGTCCATGACAAATTAAAAGCTCATTTTTGTGTCTGTAAAAACTGAATCTGAAAACTAACTTTAACTCGAACTGTTTAGCGAACGTAGAGTCCCCCCCCCGAAGTGTAACGCAGCAGAAAAGGAAAAGGAGGAGAGATGTGTCATTCGAACACATTGTTATTGTTCTGCTGAGGAGACTAAATGAACACGAGCGTCTGTGGCACTTTTCAACACACAGACGCCCCTCTCCCTCTCTCACCACCCCTGTATTTACACACTCTTAAAAACACTGTCACACGGCCTGACTAACTGACAGAAGTTATCATTACACAAAGCGCTCGATTCCATAATTTATAGAGATCCCCGTCCCAGTCATGTGGAATTCTCCCAAAATAAATTCAAGTAAACACTTATGCGACAAAGAGGCACTCACAGTGGCGTGGTATGCATAAACAGTATGAACAGTGTGACAGTGTAATCCCCAACCCCACAGCCCCCCTACCCAACACACACCCCCCCACAGCCCAGCACTGACTTCAGACCAGCGTTGGAAAGGAGCCTAAACCCCCACTTCACCCCCACAGTGCCGATGCACCAACCCCAGCCCACTCCACACCTGACTCCTGGCAAAATAAGCCAGACTACAATCCATCTTCCATCGCAATAACACACCCCCCAAACCATGTTGTTATGAAGAGCGTTCAGCAAGTTCATCTCCGGGGATGTTTTCTTTTTTTTTTTTTCTCTTCTTCTCCGAGACATCTTATTGTTTTAGCTTCACAAGACGCAGTAAATCAATCAGCTCTTCTTAACGCTGGACTCGGTTTAAAAGCCAGATAAGAGATTTTTCCATGATGCTTTGTTGAAAGTGAGGAATTGATACAAAGGATGAATCCAAAATACAGGATTAGAGACGTAAACCATAAATGAATAACTCAAAAATGTGTTCTTCTCTGTAAATACACTTGAGATGGTTACCTCAGCCAAATAGATTACTGTCTTACCCCTGTCTGTTAGTTTGTTGGTTGGATTGTAAACAGGGTTACACAAAAACTTCTAGACAGATATCCAGGAAACTTGGTGGAAGGAGTAATTTGATTTTGGTGTGGATCTGGATCAGGGGGCGGATCCATTGTTTGTTCTTTTTGTTACCTGACACATTAACAGATTTGAGACTTGTTTTGCAGACATTTTCACCGATTCGAGAATAATTCATGGATCTTAATGAAAAAAAACAGGCATATTTACTGGACTGATATTTATGAGTGTTAAATTTAATTGATGATTGAATTTAAGGAGACTGTTGGGCCTTGATGTAAGTATGAGCCGCTTCAATTACTTTATTTGTTTGTTTGTACAAAGGATTACGCAAAATCTACTCTACAGACTTACATTAAACTTGGTGGAAGAGGGACTTGGCCCAAGAAATATCTTATTAAATTTTGCAGCAGACCAGAACAAAACAGCAGATCCAGGAATCTTTGAATCAATTGCTTTAACACATTTTCACCAATTTCCCAGGGAATAATTCATGTTTCATTCATGTCATCATGTTGAATAAAATCAAGTCATATTTAGAGGACTGATATCTGTGAGTGTTTGCAATGCTGTGCAGCTTGACTGAGTTAAAGGGGACTGTTGGGCCTTGTCGGAGGAATGAACTCTACTGAGTGTCTTTCTAGTTTAGTTTTTATTGCTTTATTTTGGCTCCTTAACAAACTAGAGTCAACAATTCACTCACAGCTTTATTCTTTGTTTTCTCATTGGCCAGATTCCAGGCTGGATGTCGACTAATACGGGGCAATAAAGGCCAGTGCTGTTATCGATATTTAATTCCCTGTGTTTGTGTTGGTGTTTGGACTCCTCTCTACCTCGAGGATTGTAACCAAACGGGGCTGGTTGCGTTTAAAACGCCTGAGATGGCTGCTATTCGATTTCAAAGGGAATGTTTAGAAACCTGATCCGACCCTCCAGCAAGCATACCTTCTACACCCACGTCTCCCTCACCCCTCATTCTAAATCACTCCACTGGAGCAGTGTAAACAAACTTCAGTTTGCTCTCTGATATTGAGAGGTTAAGACAAGCGGCAATCCTCCGCTATGACAACATGGCCTCAGACAGACGATGTCATCTGTCTTACCTCACTCTCCATCCATCACTGCGCCGGAGTCGACATGTCTGACAGTCCCACTCTCGCTTTTCTCGCTGGCACAGGCCTCCACATCTGTCACATTTTCCTCCGAGCTTACTTTTATTACACCAGATGAACTCCGCCTCCTTCCCCCTGAATTCACGGACACCTGAAGGGAAAGCAGGCAGAGAGAAACCTATTGATTAGTCATGGTATCTGATGTCACCCTGGCTCCATAAACACTTTTCAATTGCCACTCCGCTACCTGTAAAACCTGCCAGAGCCATAACATACAAAAATGATTCCTTACAAGCTTTGACTTGCACATTTAAAGTATGCATTTAAAAAGTAGAAGCAAAATAACTGAATGAAAGAATGAAAATCAGAAGTTAGATTTGTATTTATTGGATTAGTAGATATGTGAACTCTGGGATTAAGGTTTTCATTAGAATTAACTTGATTCAATGAGGTGGTTTATTGAAATTCCAAGGATGAGCTTCTTAAAAGTTAAAAAGTTCTACCTTTGTTGGGATCATGATCAGAGACTCTCTTAATGACTTACAAGCAAACCCAGCAGACCCATGCACAAACAAATCAAAT